GAAAGTTGGATTTTTACGCAAAATCATCTCAGGATTTGATCTCCAAAGAAAACATTCTGGATCCGCCTCCCCCCTCTCCGGAAAATGCTGTACTTGTGTCGATTATTTTTGCTTGAATGGCATTGCTTTTTGAAACCTAGATTTTGGAAAAAAGCAGACTTTACGTTTGCTCATTTACTTCCAGAGCTCCGACATCTGCTATGCAAAAAGAACATTTAACACATACATCGTAAGCACAATGACGATATAGCTATCACACTCAAGACATAGGAAATGCTCATATTACCAGCTGAATAAAAGAAGTACTAGGGGATATATTTCGTGATTATACAATCAAGCAAGATTTCCATCAGGTACTTTGAAGCATGTGTATCTATTTTGCATTTAATTTGGATTTAAATGTATGGCAAGATCATATCTCAAAGAGGAGAAGAAGATTGTCATTCAAGCCAGTTGAATAGTAAAATATCGACACTTAAAGATTGAAGACAAATAATCGCCAACTATCAGTGATATATAGATTTTGATACTGGTACTTGCCAATAAACACCTATGAGTATCTTAAACTGTTAGTTTTTAAAAAAGAGGCAATAATTATTTTTGAACTTCGTGCATATAATTTATGTTTCATGCCAATAACTTATACCTTTGCACATCAGGAACTATTTTTTTATATGAGACTGCATTATATACCGATAGGAATTCATATAGACACTATAGTTGCTAACGCGTTTATACATCAGAGATTCAACTGAATCATTTAATATGGACCATGCTTGCTCTAAAGAAAATATGGTTTATACTTTATTCTGCACATCTGTCGTAATTGACTTATAATCGTTCCAAAAAGATGAGAAATGTTTGCGATTATCTAAATCACATTCCCAAGCTGCAAAATATCTGTATTAGTTATAATGATGCATACGAAATGTTCCCACACTAATGGTACAATTGCGAGCGATGGGTTTCTATATATATTGCCTTCGCCCAGAATTAGCAACTTTGGCGTAAAATTGTACCTAGGAAAGGTCTTTAAAAGTCTTTGTTGTAATCAAGATATATTCTCTTAGCCCGAAAATTTTCGTTCGAGGTTTTATACAAATAACAGACAGAATGGTTTACTCCCCAAAAAGTCCATATGCAACAAATCGATATTAATGAATAACTCTTAGCTCTATGTCAAGTACTCTTAAAAAGCATCGGATGTATTAAACATACTTAATGATCGTTGATAGGATTCTCCTTAAAACAGCTTCCGATTTCTCATGAGTTTTTCCATTAAATCTAATCAGGCCTCTGCTGTGGGCTAAAATCTCTTAACCCAAAGTCGTAAAGGCATATGATAAATGTATAGTTAGCCAAATTTGGCTAGTGTCTTTTAGAATAACCCACATGTATGTTTGCAAAAGACCAAAATCTAGACAACTATTATTAGCCCAATTTGGCTAATTGCAACATTGTCCCTTTCCATAATGTACTGTAGGATAATTGTATGCTTAGCAAAATTTGGCTAGTGTCTGCAATACTCTTTACTATAACCTACAGGATATTATTCCAAGAAACCAAAACTTGCCTAAATGTATATTATAGCTAGCAACTGTAATATCCATTTTCTTATCATACATGTATGGCTAATTGGCAGTAAAAACAATATTGGCTAATTGTATGCATGGAGCCTAGAGTTTTAATAGCCCTAAAGTATTAAATGCACTATATATTTATTTGTACACCAAACACATAACTTGAAGGGTGTATAATGGGAGTAAAAATAAAACTGAAAAACATAACATATATGAAAAACACTTTGATGGTGTGGTGAGAATTTTATTTTCATAATAAATAATATTTATTTGGTGAAGTAACACAATAATTACAAACAGGGAAATGTTAACATCTGTATTTGCATAATATATACAAAAAGAAGATAAACTTCTTAGTGGTCTGATGGGTGATTTCACTGAATCTAACAAAAGTATGTTCATATAAAGAAAAGTGCCAATGAATGCAATGATTCATTGTTCATAAAAGACTATTTACTTTAATAAAAAACATCCTTCTTTAATCAGTCTCTTTACTGTTAGTGGTAGTTTTTTTTATGAAGAATTCATTAAGTCTACATATATAATATTCTTCATTTACGTTCTCAAGAAGCAACACTTTAAATTCTTTCATTCTGTACAGTTCAAGTGCTACCTCAGATGTCACAACTTCTGTAACCTAACCAATTTAAATGATTGTCTCATCAGTGAGGTGGAGAACATAAGTTTTAACAGTATATTTTCTTCTGTCTGAATATTCATTTCAAGATCCACCTGTTGTTTGCTGGTTTGTGTACATCTGAAACATATATAGTATTAATGCACTTTAATTCACATGCATATTGCTCTAAATTGTTTTGCTTCCAATAGTTTTGTCATGCATTTTTATTGATCTAAGCTGAGTGTATGTTTGAAAAAACATGTCTGGTACATGTTGCTTTCCTGAATTCTCTGTTCATAAAAGGTAATAAAAGGTTCTTTATGTTGGTATGTATGTTTCCTTGGAGCATGTTTGTCTATAACAGATTTTTGTCAAGCATCATTGTCAGAGATGACAGATTCTGAGTGAATGCTGGAATACAGGGCAGTGAATAAAGCATTTTGTAAATCATTTACAAAGTCAATGACACCAAATCTATGATGATATTCTCCTGGCTGCAAATTGCACAGTGTCTCTTAGATGAGTAAAGACCAAATTATGAAAATCACTGATAGCAGCGGTCACATCTAAGGTATTTAATAGCCATGTCTATTCGTAAGAATGAGATAAATAAAAAATTTATTAGATCCATACTTAAAACATATAGGCTTCTTAATTAAGCATGCCAGATCAAAAATGTGATATATATATATATATATATATATATATATATATATATATATATATATATATATATATATATATATATATATATATATATATATATATAGACATGTTGCATTCTTTAAATACAGTTCATACAGTCTCTCTCTCTCTCTCTCTCTCTCTCTCTCTCTCTCTCTCTTATAGAGTACGAATTTAATTTCTCTAACCTGTTTGTTTTTAGTGTTGTTTGTATTAACTTATTATTTCTGCCCACTATTATCAAGATTCTACTATATAATCCAGGGATATCACTCTCTGTTCTGTCTGGTATATATTTATAATACAAAAATCCTATATAACTTTATTTCTTTCATAGGAATCTGGAACGACTATGTATATATGAGAATTATTTACTAGGTCGTCATGCGATTGTGTCTGCTACACACAAGCTTATATAACACCGACTGAGTGCCATCATTTTTTGGTGATGCGTGCTTAGTCCTGACGGTATATAGGCTGGTGCGTGCATGCAAGGTGATGGGTGCCATTTACTCGCGGACCAGGGTAAGAAACTCCGTAGAGTACGAATTTAATTTCTCTAACCTGTATGATAGTATTGTTTGTATTAAATATATATATATATATATATATATATATATATATATATATATATATATATATATATATATATATAGCCTTCATATATGGAGTGAAATATAAATCCATGTATGATGTATGACCTATATTAAATACAACCTGCGTATTTCAGTTTTGATTATTTCAATCTTATTTTAGTGCATTACCAACAAATTCATCAACAGACTTAACATTATTATTTTCTATGATTTGATATTTTGTTTACAAATTCTAATTGTTACCTAGTGTAGTCTACAGTAGTTCTATAAAATCCTTCCCCACCCCCATCTTTGTTGATACCGATGGCAATATTGTGGGTATGATGTACAATCTTACTGCATGCTAATCTTCCCGGAACTAACCTATGTAATGCTTTGACACCGGTATTTTATAATAGCCATATTTAGCCCAAAATTCAAAAAATGGCCGTAGGGCAGACAGTTGTTCAGCTACAATGCCAAAACCTCAATGTGTCCAAAACTTAGTAGGAGTATTAATATTTTTACTGGGGTTGTGGCATGGCAATTTAAAAGTTGCCAAACACAGGATCTGATCAGGAAATATCATGTACTGTTTGCAAAAAGAACTCCTCTGCCAATGGTAGCTCAATGGTTGTGAGAAATACTGGTAAGTCATAAGTGTATAAAATGCACAGCAATGTGTGCAGATAAAATTGTCAACAGATTTCTAAGTTAAATCAGCCACAAGAGTGCCAGCAAATATTAAAGTTGTGGAGATAATTTATCAGCTTAAGTCTACGTGTTTTCAGTTAACGAAAACAAGGGGTATCTAAGCTAGTAGATGGCATCCTTGAATTCTTGAAAATTTGACTAATCACTATTTCTAAATAACCACTTCAGACTTTACAATATATACTCAATGCCTTTAAATCAATATTGTTAAGTTTCTAATTGTTTTTTGTTGAAGTTGTGATTTTCTCTATTTTATTTCTTTTACTACAAACACATGCTGACTTCTCTTATCATGCAGTCCATCTCGGTAATATTTTAAAAGTGCTTAATTTAACACATGTTCCAAATCATTGCTATGAGCAACAGCGGTAAACATGGCATGCACCACAAAAAATGAACTTTATTTTTCTTTTTGGCAATATAATCATTAGGTACTAATGTGTAAAATATCAAGTTGGTAAGTTTTTAAAATACAATTCTGTGCAGATTTACTAAATGTGCTTGTGAGATACTAAGTCCAATGTTTGCTTAAAGGTTCTAACAAACTGGGGGTTTTGTGGGAATTGTCATAAGTATGTAAGGTTTGATGTGATTATGATGTGATTATAATTTTAACATAGCTTTAATAATTTTTCAGTTGTATTGCTACAATGTCTGCAGTCTGGCAGTTTATAGTGATGTCTAGCACTGGGGCAACATGCCGCAGACATGTAGCATGATGTCGCACCTAGTTAAAATATCCTGCCACCAGGCTGATCAGTCCCAACAATAACCCCTTAATGCTGAGCATCAAGCAAGGCAGCTGTTAGTACCCTTTTGGTAAGTCTTTGGTACGACTTGACTGGGGATCAAACCCACGACCTCCCGCATTGGAGGCAGATGCTCTAGCCACTAGACCACCGGAGCAGTTATGTAAGATGTGGGATGCTTGTAGAAAAACAGCTCAGCACATATCTAACTAGTCGTACCACAATTAATATGAGCTTTTGGTTTAGTTGTTTTACTGTTCTGTATATAGTTTCTGAACTTTAAGCAATATTTTGGACTTGTACTTTTTTTAAAGATTTTATTTAAGCACAAAATAATATTTATAAATGAATTTAATGTGTCTTTCTCTGTTTTATATATTTCATGAATAATATTCATTCCTAATTTATTTTACAAGAAAACTACATATTGTAATATCATTTGTTATAAGAACTCGGCTATACTGTCAAGTGAGTTTTTCTTCACATACCAACACTTTTGTATGCATTGATTTTCTATATTTGATAATATAATTCCTTGCCTGAGAAATTTTCTTAAGCTGCAATAGATGATTCAATAACCGAATTAGTTTTAATTATTTGTAACTTTTCATTTATTCATTAATGAGCGTTATTTTAAAGAAAAGTTGTACAAAACCCATAATGTAGAAAACTGGATACAAATGTATATTAATAAAATATCGTTCAGATCTTTCGTTGCTCAAATCTATCTGCACACAGAAGAGAATCTACAGATATAAAAGTGGTAATTGTAAGAAAAAGAATGAGATAATGGTCAATGGTGAAATGTCATTTTTAATTCGATTTCTTAAGTTTTCTTTGCCTGATTGTTTTTTTATATACATTTTCTACTCGTTATTCATCAAAATAAACTCAAGACTGAAATTATTGTTACAGATTTCTTTGTTTACAACTTACGTCAGTGTTCTTCCATTTTTTGATAACTGAGGTACGCTTTGAAATCTTGTCTATTTAAACGTTTTTGAATGAAATCCAATTGATATTGTGAGGGGAAGTATTGTTACGATTCAATGGTTTTTAACTGAGTAACAGAAAGAAGTACACGCAATTAACAGGTTTTATTAAACATGACAAATAATTTAATTATCTTAGCTATACATGAAAATTTAAGAGGAACTTATTATGTGCACCGATAAGGTAGTGCAGTGGTTAGAGCATCAACTTTGGATGCGGGAGGTAGTGGATTCAATCCCCGGTCGAGTCATAGGAAAGACTTACAAAAATATGGTTTATAGTCTGGATGCTTTCCATGTCTATTAGTTTTGTGCTCAGTGTAGTTAATATTTGCACAAAAGGTCACTCTGGCCTGCGTCTAGGGACGAGTGGTCAATCATTTCATTTCCGTGCACCAGCTGTGCACGAAAAATGTGTACTTATCGTTATCCGATGCTGATACTTGGAAGAAATGTTGGAAAAATGGCGTTTTCTTTCTAGATCTAAATTCACAGAAACATGATTTAAATGTTCAATGCTCAAGTTATCTTATATTATTTATCTTCAATATTCGATTTCTGCCTCGTTTCTGCAATAGTTTGCTTTGTTTGCTGACAATTTTTTTGTCTTTAATGTTAGTCTAATAGAAAGCAGACGTCCGTGATGTATGGTGCCATTGTGATACGTTTATCAATGAAAGTTGTATTGGTGTTCCTGGAAAAGGATTAGTATATCCATTTAGTTAAGTATTAAGTCCATGTTAAAATGTTTTATTCATTTTCTTTTATCTTATTTGGGAAAACCTATGGTTCCCTGTATTATAAAAAACATTTGTTCATTTCATTAAGTGGTCAATGTATTGCATTACAGATCTAATTTATTTTGACATTACATTCTTTTGTTTTCCATTATCTACTGTTTCCCTGACATTCAGGTTTGTTAGGTGTTGTTTCTCATATTTAAACAATTGTAAATATTTTTAATAATCTTTTGATATTTTAATTCAAAAGAAAGTTTCCCAATTCATGTGTTGCTGCGGAGAACAGAAATTAGCACTTGTTAATATGTAATGATTTGTCTTTCTTTTTTATCGAAGCCTATGATCACGGAATCCCCCACTTTGTAGATCTTCATGAGGAGTATTTACGTTTTTGATTATAGGCTTTCGCTTTTAACAGTTTTGTTTCTCATGCTTCTTATTGTCTTTTACAAGATGGCATTTTCTACTGTTATGTTGCACGCTTTTTTGCTTCAACATTTCTGTTAATTTCAGAGATACTAGGTAATGGGTTTAAACTTTCAGCTGTGGTGAGTTGATATCATCCTCGCTCATCATTCCAGATGCTATTCTTGCATACCTGCTCTTTTGACAAGCTTTCTATATTATTTCTAATTCAATTGTTGAACACATTCATTATAAATGACAGCCTATAGTCCATGGGTAAATCGTCTATGTTGTCAATTTTTTCTCTTCCTTTGTTTCATAAATTTGTTTTCAAACATTTTTTTTGCTTGTTTCGTTTTGCTATTACATTGAAGAAGATAGTAAGCTTGAAAGATATTATACGCTGCAGGTATGTGCTTCGCCTATACGTAATATCTGAATAGTACAATTGCGTGCTCTCGCCTGAACATAATATTTTTAACCAGTTGATAAGCTTTTTACGAAATATATTTTGATGAACCTTGAACTATTTATTAAGCTCAGTGATACTGTATTTTTCGTCTCTACTAACGATGGTTTGCTGAACGAAGTGTATCTATCACTAGAGGACGGTATTATGCTATTTCATAGCAGCATTAGTTTTAATCAGTTTCTTGATAAACGTAATTATCATATTATATGATAAAAATATGTGAATTTGTCGTTTTCATTTATGATGTGGAACGTCGTCACACCATTTGATAGCTCCTTACATGCGATGGAGAAAAAGGGAGAGTTTTTATCTCGGTAATCTACAGGAAGACCATTCTTACAGTTTTGAGTAATATTTTCACTTGCAAGCAAACTACTTGAAAATTATAAAAAGTATACATTTTTATGAGAAACATGAGCCGCCCTATATATTCCGCACTGTAAGCATCATTTAATTTTTTTTATTGTGTTCTTTAATATTTTGTATAATTAAGTATTTATATTTTTTAAAATATCAATAACATTTCTTAGAAAGTACAAATTCAAACTTGTGTATCAAATATGTTAATTTTTCTGAAACTATTGAGGCTTTTATAGCATTAATAAGATTCTCTTTCTACAACTTAGCGTTATGCTAGTGTTTGCATATTGTGCATTATTGAAACCTTCTACCTGATGATTTTTATTTCTGATTTTTTTTGCATATTCACACATCGTTTCATGGTTTGTTTTCCTTATCATGCCGACTTGAAGTTAAAAATTGAAGTTACATTTTTTTAGTGTCGGGTCCTAAAGGTCTTGCTCTTCTTTGTCATCGATGTTAGCCGTGCTCAGCACATGCCTTATCTCTCTGAGACACGGACTGTGTCAAATGTGCCACAATTTCGTAAATGTGCATTGATATATCTCATTCTTGTTATATATAACCCCCGAAAAGCTGTTTGTTGGACACTCGTTAAAGTAACGGCTATACGTGACCATAATAAATATTCCATGGTGTCTGACATTACATGTTGGTGTCCTTAGCACTTTTATCGCATTAATTAAACATCATTTATCCATATTATTAAGTGATATGCATTGTATCATTTTTATTTACTTAGGATGATTGATAATACTACAAGCAAACTCTTTGCTTTAAAACAGATTCGTGTATCATTTCGGCTATTTTACAACCTATTGACTTACATGTTTTTCAATTAACATTGTTCACAATTTCAATAAATATGCACTCAGCTTGCATCTCAAAATTACTTATTTGTGTTCCCTTGTTATTCGTGTCTGTGTTAAACTTTAAAAAGCTTGTGTTAACCCTGTGTTAATAATCTTCCATTTCCAGTCTTATTTCTATATGATTATCTTATTGTTCTGTAAACCTGACAGTTTTAAACAATAAAACCAAAATAAAATTATCATTCCCCACAAAAAATTAAAAATATCCACTACGTGCAGCAGAAAGGAAGCCTTCAATTCTTTTCGCTTTAGCTCCTCTAGTAGTTATATACACTATACCTCTGATTCCATCAAATACATATATATATGTTTCAATGTTGAAGATATTGGAGTCATTGATTTATTTGAACACACTCTTAAAACATTAAAGCATTATAATACATTTCGGAATTTATTTTGTATGAAAGAGATTTTTATCTTTTTCTTCACAATCAACTCTTAAAAATTATGATCCTCTCCTTAATTCATCCATTCTGTTATTGAAGCATTCAATAGTTGCAATTGTATCTCATCTTATATATTCTTTTTGTTTTTAACATACTTTTATTTTCTTTAATTCTGACACTTCTTTCTCAACTTACTCTGACCATTTCACACAGGTGTTTGTAACTGATAATGTTTTGTGAAGAGATTATAACGTCGAATAAATGTGATTAATTTTGTAAACATTATGTTAATCTCTTATTAAAAGTTTATTTCGCTTCCTGCTTAATGTCGACGAGCATGTAGTGTTTTTTTTTAATAACAATTACTTTGCCAGCAGAGAGAAGAAGAACTGCGTAGCATCTGCGCAGCAGAATGTGAATGTTGTGTTTTACATTTTGTTAGCAACAGGAACATTTAGTAATAATTACGTAAATTCAGCTATTGTTAATAATTAACATTTAGTAACATTAACTGTCATTCAGTTAGTTACAGTTTTTCACAACCAAAATGATCTCTGAATATGCCACTCATTGAACAAGAAAGACCTGAAATATTTAACAATAAGTCATAAACAAACCGACTAAGAAAATTGATAGGTTTAACAAGCACAAAGCCGTGAGCGAAGTCTCTTTGTCGATCTGGAAAAAATCAAATTAATCAGTCTTGCCAAGAAAATTCCTATCCGCTTCTCACACAGATCAACAAAAACCCTGCCTTGATAAGAACAACATACTGAGTCATGGAAACAATGTAGAAGAAAGTAGAGCTAAGCTGGCATGAAATAGAAATGGAGAAAGCGTACAGTTTTGTGACATGAAGGAAGTTTCGACAGGCTCTTTGTGTTACAACAAGGCAATCAAAATAAGTTTTGAAGACATATGAAGACGAAT